AATCCAACTCTTTACAAAGCATTCGGTGACTTACAAACAAGGAACACCGATCTTTATATAACGTAGAGCTTTACGTGACCTCAACACGACCCTCAAGTTTAAAGAAAATTGATTTTACAAATTAAAACTTCTCTATTAATAAATGATATGATCACAATTAAGTATCAAGAGAGAAATATGCTAACGTTTTAATAAATATCAATGAATGAAACTCAAGTGTTAGGTATGAAAAACTTGGATGTGTAGAATGATTTTCAAAAGTTTATTTGATCAAAAAAATTTCAAAACTAAAATGACTTGATAATAATAAATGATATGAGANATAATAATAAATGATATGAGAAATTAATACATTTTTGCTTAAAAGACTCTCACTTGAATACTTTTAAGTTATATTAATGAATGGTAAGTGAGTTGATATTTATAGCAGTTGAAAACGTGAAATTCTCTGTCGAATTGGACGATCATCCGGATGTTCGGAACAGTACCCAATGACTGAATAGTCGTTACTTCATCATAAATCAGAAGGTCAAAAACTCGACCTTTGGAGGTGAACCGGACGTCCAGTTAACCATCTGGACGTCTGGATGGACATAAATATCATGTTTTGTCTGTTTTATTTGAGACGAGGTAAGGTTTTGCATGACTTTTTACTTGATCTTTTAAGGTAAGTGATGATAATAGGATTGAAAATTAAGTTAAAATTCTTACATTTGAAAAATAATTTTTGTGCAAACGTTTTACGAAGTAAATTTTATAATGCATAAAAATTCATCACTTGAACTTTTAATGAGTCATTGCTAAGGATTAAAGTATTTAAAGACAAGTGAGATCAAACATATAGTTTTAATATCTTCGATTGATTTGGCGCGAGTGCACAATTTGTTGCTCGAATTTAAATATGGCGTAAGTGCTCGATTTGTCTCTGATTGTTTTGGAGCGAGTGCTCAATTGAAAATGCTCGATTTCTAAGCTCGATTGTGACTACTTTATTTCCATCTTGAGCTTTCTTGATCGTCACCTTCACGTCCATCACATCTTTACATCGATGTTAGTTCATACACTACAACTCGACCTCCACCTCCACCTCCACCTCAAACTTTAAATTTGTCAACATTTTCAGCGCAATCCTAGAGTTTGAACCATGAATTTTGGTACTACTTGTTGGGAAAAAAGACCGCTTTAAATGTACAGTAAACACAATGAAAATAAAAAGCTAGCAATAACAAAAAAAGAAATATGAATTAACATAATTCAGTAAACCGTCAACAACACATAAGAAGACTTTATTAACTTAGAAAAACGTCACAACACAACATTTTCTTTACTATCTCAATTTTTTATACACGGTAAACATGCGATTTTTTTTAGTTTCCTCTCTTTAATCTGAGAATGTACAAGAAGAATTTGGCTGCACTATAAAATCTCGGCGCCCTACACATCCACAATCCTTGTATAATTGTGTATATTTATACAGTTTTCAAATGACCTAATTGCATTTCAATTCCTTTTTATAATTGCATTACAAGTCATTTTCTATAAATACCATTGTCAATTGAATTCTTTTTTTTTTATTTTCCAACTTGTGATTCCATTAACATATAAGGAAATAACTCATAATACAATAGTGTCGTTTACTTTCTTTCTTTTTTATTCTTTTCCAAACAAGAATTTTATTATCCTTTTCATAATATAATTATTTTATTTCACAACTTTACATGAATATACATTTCAAGTATACAATCCACATCAAAGTGCAAAGATAATAATTGGTAAGATATTTTTCTTTTCATTAAATTGGTTTTATTAGTTTCAAATTATTTTGGTTATTCTAATAAAAGGTAATTTCTTGACTCTCTAAAATAAAAAGTACCGTGTATTTAAATAATCTCTTGAGATGCTCAAAGGAGAGTTCACATAGATAAACATGTATATAATTCATGCTTAAATTTATAAGCTTTGTGTCGAAATCGATCATGGTGAATTGAAATAAATTGTGGTCGCGATTGAATTTTATTAGCAAAAATTAAGGCTCACGTATATAGTTGATGTTTATCATAGGCCAAACCAATTGAGTATTGAATTGAGCTTGAGATCAGGGTATCTAGATGACGAGTGTTGTCGATTTTATCTCGTTACTGGACGGATCATTACTAGTAATAAAACTTTGTGTGATATTGATTTTTTGATGAGGAGTTTAACTACAATTAAAATGTAGTGAAATCAAATAAAAATTATGATGACAATATAATTAATTTTCTGAATCTGATGTGATAAATTCTTTTAAATGTGAATCGAATAGCATGAATGAGAAACATTGGATTTGATTTATTTACTATTTAGAATTTTAGATGACACACTAACAGCGGGGTTATAAAAGAAATTGATGTGCATTTTGGGAGCCTTTGGTAGGTCAGTCATAACTTCAACACATTAATGGCATCTCAATTTATTCTTCCCCCACTCCCACTCACACGAACCCACATATTTTAAATGTAATAATTACAAGGGATAATTGCAGCAAATGCTCTCAACCTTTGGAACACTAGCATATTTTTTTTCAAACCTTTGATTTGTTGAAACGGTTTGAGGAAAGTCTGGCAATGTTTGAGGAAAAAATCAAAGGTTAGGGGTGACAATTGTAACAAATCAAAGGTTTGAGAAAAATCTGACAGTGTTTCAAAGGTTTGAGATTTTTGCTGCAATTATCCCTAATTACAATGGACATCAAATTACATGTTTAATTATTCCCCAATAATTTGGATAGTTCATGGGATTTCCAAGAGCCTCTTCATTTTTAAAGAATATATTCTACAACTTAGGAATATTTATAAATTCAGAGAGTAAAATTTTTTATATGCTTCAACATACTTTTTAAGGCTCTGTTTGGGAGAAATTTTAATCAAAATTCTAGCCGTTAACTATCAAATTAGCTATCATTTTTGACTTTCTCTCTCACAGGTGGGCCCACAAGTTGACTATAACGGCTATAATTTTGATTAAAATCCCACAAAAATTGCTCCCAAACATGCTCTAAATTTAATACTTAATTTTATTATTTCCAAAAAATATTTATTATTTTTCCATATTTTTTTATTATCACCTATTATCATCTGTTTTCCTCTAAATTATTATATTATTTTCCTACATTGAAAATTTAAGTAATAGAAAGTGTGTTTGGCTCTCCAAACTCGCTCACTAAATTAAAATATTAATTTAAATAATCTTTGGAGTATAATGTTGAGGGTTGATTCTTTAAAATATAGAGCATCTTATGTTTAAATGATTTTTTAGAGATACTCTTTTAAAAATAAAATACTGTCTCTTTAAAAAAATAATCATTAAAATTATGCTCCAAGTAACTCTTTAAATTAATATTTTAAGAATATTTTCAAGAGACTATGTATAAAGAATATCTTATGGGGTTCCATAATAGAGAACTATCTTTAAAAATTTAGAGGATAAATTTTTTTATGAACTCTTACAATGTTCTCTATTTTGACTTTTTTTTTTCAATGAATGATTTCTCCTAATATCTTATTTAACACAAATTTTTTTATTTATGATAATGACCCATCAATTTAAATGTGATTTCAATAAATTAAATTGTACAGTATTAAAATTTATAGTTTATTAAATGCAATTAAACACAAATAGTTTATTAAATTTTCAAATCATTGTTAATTAAACACAAAAAGTGAGTTTGACTAATTTGGAGAGTCATATTTGAAGAGTTAAACTCACTATTTGCTCTAAAAAGCTAAACCATTTGTGTTTAAATAGTAAACACACAAAAGACATTGAGGAAAACAATATAATACAATGTTTAGAAAGCTCATGAAAATAAAAGATAGAAAAAAAAATGCATATCGAGAGCAGTAAAATTAAATATTAATGATTTGGAGTATTTAAAAATTTTTACCGTCTAAAAATTATATATGCTCTCTAAATTACAAAATATGCTTTTTAAAAATAAATAATTTCTGAATGATGCTCTTATAATTTAGCTAGCTTGCACCATTTTTCCAGATAAATTTAA